CGCAAGCCGTTGCTGCATCATCACCATCATTCTCATCATCTGCAGCAATATCAGCTGCCCCACAGCCAATTGCAGCAATCACACCACCTACACCACCATCAACAACAGCAGCAGCATCACCAGCAACAGCAACAGCAGCAGCAGCAACAAGCATCGCATCTGACTTTGCCCAAAATGGATCTATATGCCGCCTACGCCTATCAGCAACAGTTGCTGGGCAGTGCAGCCGCCGCCGCAGCGCTCAGCCAGCAACAGCAACAGCAGCAGCAACAGCAACAGCAGCAATCTATTGCTGCTGCCGCTGAGGTGCTGGATTTATCACGTCGCTGCGACAGCGTGGAGACGCCGCGCAAGACGCCATCTCCGTATCAGACCAACTACAGCTATGGCAGCGGCTCACCTGCCGCCTCGCCCACAGCCATTCCCAGCAATCTGCTCTACTCCGCACAGGCAGCCGTCGCCCAGCAGCAGCAGCAGCAACAGCAGCAGCAGCAGTTGGCTTCACTCTATCCGGCCCTTTACTACGGCGGCAGCATCAAGCAGGAGCCGAATGCCGCTGAAGCTGTGGCCAAGTCCGGCAGCAATGCCACCGCCAGCCTGTTGCAAACCTTTGCCGCCGCCTCGGCTGCAGCGGCCGCTGCCGCTGCCGTCTCGGCCAGCGCAGTGGAGCACTCGCCACGCCCGGCCAGCAATGCCAGCACCATGCAAATCGATGTCCTGGAGGCGCCACAGTCGCCGCCTGCTTCAACCAGCGATAGCCAGCTGCATGGCAGCAGCAGCAGCACCGCCACCCACACGACACCCACCAGCAGCACCACAGCACCACTGTCCATCGCCGGTGGCGTGGATGGCAGCAAGAATACGCGCCCGTTCAAGGCCTTTCCCCGTGATCCGCTCGTGATCGCGGCCAATTTTGCAGCCACGGATGTGTTGCTGGATAATCCACGTGTGGAGCGCTATACCGAATACCGTAAGCGCGTCCTCGAGCAAATTCGCAGCTCCAATGGCGGCTCTCGCACGGTGACCAATCCGAAAATGCGACGCACCAACTCGCGCAGCGGCAGCGTCAATGAGGGCAGCAGCTCCAACAACAACAGCGAAAGCGAGGATCGTGCCGCCGCCGAGGAGTCCAGCGACTGTGACTCCCATGCCGGCAACTTCGAGAAGCTATCGGCCCCAGCAACAGGCGCTGGAGCTGGAGCAGCAGCAGCAGCAGCAGCCGCTGCAGCCGGCACACTCAGCGGCAGCGGCAGCCAGGTAAAGGATGCGGCCTACTATGAGCGTCGGCGCAAGAACAATGCAGCGGCCAAGAAGTCGCGTGATCGTCGTCGCATCAAGGAGGACGAGATCGCCATTCGGGCTGCCTATCTGGAGCGTCAGAATATCGAGCTGTTGTGCCAGATCGATGCGCTGAAGGCGCAGCTGGCCGCCTTTACCGCCAAAGTAACGGTTTAGGCAGCAATAGCCAGATCGCTGTTATCGATAACCAGAATCGATTGCCAGATTGCCAGCTGCTTGTTGCGTTGAACGCGTTCGAGTCTCAGTTCCGTTTGGTTTCCACAATTCGATTTCAGCATGTTTTTTTTTTTAATCTCAAGGAGGGGCAGCTTATCTGTGAATACTTTCATACTGTTTCTTCTATGCCACTTTGAAGCCACACTCACTGCTTCTAATTCGTACAGTCTGCGGTTTTTCTATATTTAAGTGCATTACTATTTTTTTTTCGTCTCAAGTATTTTAAGTACTTTAAGTTCTAGGGCTTTTAGCGCAAAATCTCACCAGTTAATTAATATAGACAACTAATTATCATATTGTATAGTACAAGAATAATTTCTAAGCAACACTTTTTTTTTCATATCTCTAAGCAATACAAATAAATTAAAAAAAAAAAAAAAAAAATAACGTGTTTCCTTTATGGACTGGCGCCATCTAGAGTTTGAGGTAGCCTTGCTGCAGGGCGAACAGTGCAGCAGCCAGCTTTTTGTCATTCTGCTTACGATCTAAGTCCTTTCGTTGGAATTGGCCACGCTCGGCGAGCGAGTAAGAAGTGCATTAGCTGCAATTGATTAAAATAGGAGCATTTAGTTTTAAAACTGAGAAGGGTATGAGTTTTCAACGATTTGCCACGCCCCCAATAAACGCATCAATGGTTAATCTATGTCACCTATGTGCCACTCATATGTATGTATATAAAGATCATACATACATAATATATTGTAAGGTAATGAAGAGATGAGCAAGTATTCCAGATTTGGATGCACCTATACTGGCCGATATATTCCATAGCTACTGATCATGAATCTGATTTCAAAACTTAGTCACAACCGTCTTTTTCTGTTTGCAGAATTTCGTTCAACGAGCCCTTAGCCCTTAGTGGCGCCATCTGTTGAGCTTGAATGCATAAAGTGCAGGGCCACCGAAGTTTTGCAGAAGGCATCTTTTGTTTGGCTGTTGCTGGGAAATACAAAACTAAAGAATTTTTGTATTTTTATCAATTTTTATTTTCAATTTTCGCTCTGATTTTTTTTACGTTTGTCGGCCCGTTTTTGTTTTTTACTGGTTTTTTTTGTATTTTTTTTTTCTTTATCATTAATACTAAGTGTACGCATTAAAGGTAATATATATATATACAAATATGTGTATATATATATATAGTTAAAAAAAAGCTAATTTACACAATTAGAAGTGAAATCTTTAAGGGGGTGCTGGATTGGTTTGGGGCATAACAACATAAGTATATAGTGGGGACGTGTACTAGGGGCGGGGGGTGTGTATTGTAAGGGGCTTGTGTGGTGTTGTAACTTGTATACGTGTCTGTGTATAATTTAATAGGTTGTTACGTAAAAGAGCTCACACACACACACACATGCGTACACTCACACACACACACACTTATATTTGTTTTCGCCTTTCCGCCTTATATACAAAACATATTAACTTTTTAGCAAAGGAAGAGGGAGAGAGAAATTACAGTTAGACTCGCAAATAACTGATTGTATGCGATCGCAGGAGACGCACACACATTACGTTACACAACACTACTACAACTAAGACAACTAAGATAAATTGTAACTATGTGTGCACATTATATATTATATTTACTCTTTCTCTTTCTGTTTGTTTCTGTGTCAATTTCAGTTGTTGTTATTGTTGCACACGCTGAACGTCTTTAAGCCGCACTGGTTAGAATAAGGTCAGGAGCCATACAATAAACATTAATTAAAGGAGCTTTGACTATTCGACTGGCCCATGGGTAATACACCTTATATGTGCCAGGCGCATAACTGAAGATCTTCATGGAAGTTCAATATGTTAAAAAAAAAAATACATTACAAAAAAATTGGAATCGAAGTTGATTTTATTGCTAAACTACATTCGAATCAGGAGCCTAATTTCAAGTGTAGAAAAAAATATATATGTATATATCTCTCTTAATCAGCTTATCATTTCGAGTTATCAGATCGAAAACGAAATCCATATCTCGTCAATGATTTCAGCATCAATAATATTTCTATGGCAGCTATATTGATGTCGTATATATGTATATGCTATAAGCTATATATGTATTTGTATATATCTCTATGTATTTTCTACTCATTGAGTTTGGAATTCGGCTCTCGTGTGGCTTCGTAAGGGTATAAAACAAAACTGCAAGCGATTAATTATATGCATATTTTTAATAATAATATGCAATTGCCAGTGCAGCAAAAACGAACAGTTAACAATTATTTAAGGCTCTCAAGGAATTGCAATCTGATTTGACATTAAAGACACGAACCCTTTACGAGTTCGATTTGTATATTTTGTATATTGCATAAGGGTTTTTCTTTTTGTTTTAGTTTTCTTTTGTTTTTTTTTTTTTGGGCGGGAGCGGGATTAAAGTAAAACTGTGTGTGTGTGGTTCTTTACTCTATTTGCTATACATTTTGATGTGTTTTCTGTTTATCGCTTTGCCTTGCACTTATGTGATGTTTCAGCTTATGTTTTTTGTTATTTGCCTATTTCTAGGTTTTTCTAATTGAACGCACACACACACATTCACTCACGCACTCACATACACACATGCACACACACACTCACACACACAAAACATTTGTTGTCAATATTTACGAATTGTTTTGTTTTGTTTTGTTGTTACATAAAAAATTTCGTTGCTACTTAAAAACTAACTTTGCACTTAAATATATAAATATATAC